GCGCCCTTGCGAGCGGAGAGTAAAGTGTGCTCGAAGAATGGGGGGAGTACCGGGTTTTCGTACACAAATGATCGTCCCGGGCTGTTTATACGAACGGACCTTCATCAGTATCTCTCACGTAATAGCTTTTCAACTCTCGCGATGAGAACCCGACCAGGCCTTCCGAGAGACTCCGCAGTGGGAGGTAACTTAGAGGGAGCAAAAGCCATCGGGATGAGGAAATGGGCACCTGATTCGTATGATTCGACGAGGGCTTCTCGGGAGCTTCATCCGATCCTCGGACTCTAGGAGTTTGCCCTCATTCAAGACATAAGCTCCTGTATACGCGGAGAGTTCAATCAGAATATCGTCTCTATATAATCTTCGAATGTACTCAATCGTTTGGACCTCATCAAGAATTCAACTTCTGAAACATCAAGCATTCTTTTTTCGAACACACTACACTCCAGCATGTCTCTGACCGCAGTGATGACCCCGATGGCGCCGCCTATGGTGGTTGGGCCTACTACAAGAAGAGCCACCAGACCCACCAACAAGCTACCGCAGTCACTCATCGATGGAGCCCAGCTGGCTGATAAGCAGAGCTTTGATCCCAAAACGCACTTGAACTATCAGCCTCCCAGCAAAATCTACACCATGAGAGAGATTGGCCTCGAAGGCCAGGGAATCTCTCCCAATGCGGTCACGGCGCCTTTCCAGCTCTTTACCGAAGAGGCTATCAGACAGATGCGGGCCGAGATCTTCAGCCAATCGGTCCTAGATGACTGCCAGTACACGTCAGACTTCGTGAAGAACACTATCCGGGGCATGGGACCTGCGTAAGTGATTGATGGACTTCTGATGGTGATCACGTCCTAATGAGATCAACAGCCGAGCCCCCTTTATCTGTGATGCCTGGAAATCCCCCGAGGTTCTGTCTCGAATCTCCGAGGTGGCTGGAATTGACCTCGTTCCTGCCATGGACTATGAGATTGCCGCTATCAACATCTCGATCAACAATCAGACAGTGGCGTCTACATTCCCTGCCACCGACGACGCTCTCCCCGCCTTTGCCTGGCACCGTGATAGCTACCCCTTCGTCTGCGTGACGATGCTCTCTGACTGCACGGGGATGACGGGTGGCGAAACTGCACTGAAGACTGCGTCCGGGGATATCATGAAGGTTCGGGGTCCGGCCATGGTAAGCTCCCTCTTTTGCAGCTCTGATGCGTATTCGCTGTGGACTGACAATGCTGCACCAGGGCACGGCCGTGGTCATGCAAGGACGATACATCGAACACCAAGCATTGAAGGCGGTTGGAGGACGTGAACGCATCACGATGATCACCTCATTCCGTGCCAAGTCGCCGCATGTGCGCGATGAGACCGTGCTGACAGGCGTGCGGCCTATCAGCAACCTCTCCGAGCTCTACACTCAATACACGCGATACAGGCTTGAAGTACTTGAAGAACGAGTTCGAGCGCTACTGAAGCAGGAACGGGATCGCGAAATCGCTCAGCATCCGTTTAATGCTGCTGATGTGAAGTCCTTTTTGACTGAGCAGAAGCAGTTCTTGGAGTCGATGATCGAGGAGATCATCGAGTAGCTTCGTCCTTTTCGAAATAGCTAGCTGTTTTGTTGATCACTATGAGTAGTTCTGTTCTCAGTCGTACTGCAATAGTCTGAAATTTAAATAGTTCTTTCCATCCGTCTCTCCTTTGCACATGTAGCGTTTATTTGGTTACTATAGGAAAGATAGAGAAGTGAGTAGTGGTGTCACGGAGAGGCATGGGTGACGCGCGTCATGCAGGACACGTCGAGCAATCACATCCCTTCTTGTCATTCATTTTTCTCCTGCCCCTTCGGAATATCTCCCCAAGAACAAGTAAACTACTGCGTGCTTACTGTAAGTCAACTTGTTGTTACAAGGAATAGACATGCCTGCGGGGAAGTGGCCTAACCCGAACAGGCAATTTGAATGAGAGCCAGCCCTGACGGGGATCGGGAAACGCTCCCGATTCCTCTCTGGCGAAAATAAAGCCATACTGAACTTCATTCACTTCCTATGGCAAAGTAAAAAGTGGAGCAATGATCACTGATACTCATTTAGTGAAGGGGCGGGGCAGGAATCCCCCTCCCACTTCCAACGTGGTTCACATGTTACAAGAAGTACTACCGCACAGCTTCGAAGTTTGTGTCACTTCTCATACTTAATTGCTAGCTACCATACGGAAATGAACATCAGAAATGGTCACAAGCCTAGACAACGTCAAACTCGACAGTCCCCCAGCCGTCAAAAGTGCACGTCCAGCGCCCGGTCTCTCTCATGGGCATCGCCTGCAAGCAGCTCCCGGGCAAAATCACCTGTCCCGCTTCCAGCCCGACCTCGTACGCCGCCAGCCGATTCACCAACCACGCCACCGCGGAGATCGGATTCCCCAGAATATTCTTGGTGTTGCCCGTCATGATCTCGCGGCCGTTGAAGAGTAGTGTACCCCGGGTATCCCGCAGATTGAGGTCCGTCAGGCGGCGCGGGGTGCCTCCTAGGATAATCGCCCCCGTCGATCCATTGTCCGCCAGCGTGTCCGGTAGCCCAATCGACCAGTCCTTGACGCGCGAATCGATGATCTCGATGGCAGGGAGGGCGTAGTCGATGGCATTGATCACATCCGCGACGGTGGTGTTGGGGCCCTTCAGCGGCGCCTTGAGAACGAATGCAGGCTCCAGCTCGACGTACGGGGCGATGTAGTCTTTGAGCGGGATTGGAGTGCCCTCGTAGATGAAGGTGCTGGCCAGCAAGAAGCCATAGTCGGGCTGGTCCAGACCGAACGCGTCTTGCATGACCTTGGCAATGTTGCCCAGTTTCAGTCCGACGAGGCGGTCGCCTTGCTTGACGGCCTCGTCGACGGTGATGCGCTGAACTTCAAACGCGCTGTCGGCGTCGAGCGAGGGCCATGTTTGGGTGGGTGGGGATATGGGCTTTTTCTCAGTGCGGGCGGCGCGTAAGGCGAGCGCGACTTCGCGCAATTCGTTGGGCTGCATGGTTGAGTCTGAAGAGGGTATGAGTAGATGGGTGAATCAGTCTTGTGAGCGCAATCCGATGGGTGTTCAACAGTGGTAGGAAGACTTTAAATATGAATTGTCCATTTACCTCAGAGTGGACACCGTGAGAACCCGAAAAAGCCTGCTCATCGAATGCACGTCGGAAGGCATCGGGAGGGGCTTCCTTGTAGCTCTCCTATAAATTACTTCTTATGGAAGAGTGAGAATCCGATCGCTCGGTGAGATGCTGATGCTCGGGAGCGTCATCCGATGCAACCGAGGGCTCTGTGAATGGAGTAGATGTTGTATACAATCCCGGGATTGTATGAAGCAGCACCATATAAAGCCGTCCAATCTCATCGGCTGTACCTCATAGTTAAGTGAGACTGTCTTGACAAAGGTAACCTTCATACGCTACACCTGAACAAGATGCAGGCAGCAAATCGCCTGCAGAAATCCCTCAAAGCCGGCCGCCCTTCGCTTGGGGGCTGGCAGATGCTCCCTGGCACCAACCTCACACGAGTCATGTGCCGGTCATCCTCGAATCTCGAATGGCTCCTCATCGACCTTGAACATGGAAATATCTCCGATGACACGATGCACGAGATTGTGGCCGCCGCCGCCGCATGTGGCGTGTCGCCGATTGTGCGCGTGGTCGAGGGCCGACCCTGGGCGATCAAACGCGCCCTTGACTCGGGCGCCCACGGACTTTTGGTCCCCATGCTAGAAACAGCCGAAGATGCCCGGAGGATCGTGCAGCACTCGAAGTTCCCTCCGGAGGGCAATCGGGGCTTTGAAAGTCTCCTTGCGGTGGAGAAGTTCGTCGAACAGCACCCGCACGGCGGCCCCGTCCGCGAACTGACCGGCCTCGAATACCTGCAGCAAGCCAACGACGCGCTGGTCATTGCGGTTCAGATCGAGACTAAAGCTGCGTTGGAAAATGTGAAGGCCATTGCGGCTGTACCGGGGGTCGATGTCTTGTTCATCGGGCCTTTTGATCTCGGGGTCAACATTGGTCATCCTATGCGCGGACAGGGGGTGATGGATCCGGAGCTTTTGGAAGCTATCCAGACCATTCATGAAGCCGCGCAGGCTGCCGGAAAGGTTACTGGGATCTATTGCGACTCCGGGGAGGAGGCGAGGAGATATGCCGAGCAAGGGTTTCTCATGCCGAGTGCGATGACTGATATGGTGGGGCTGCGTAAGGTATTTAGACAGGCGTTTGAGGGTGGACAATAATGTACAGTATTTAGGTAGAGTACTCTCCAAATCTTTACTACTAGTTATACTGCACCGGTCAAATATAGCCCTATACAACAGCACATCGCCATGTCCGACTGTGTGCCTTCCTGATGGTACAGTACACGAGACCTTGAATTTTTCTCTTCTCTTCTCAGTCTTGCCAATCTTTAAGGTTCTACATCGTATGTGTACCTGTTATTACATCTCCATTGGGTTGACCATCATAAAGCCATTTGTTGCAATCCGTTCAGGTGGCAGACGAACTCCGACGTCTTGGTGCAATGCATACATACTTTTTTGCAGGGCATGTGTTAGTAATAGACCCGTGCAAGTAACTAGTTAGTTATTGAAGCCAGCTGAGTCATTGCGAGCAACCCTCCTGTCAGGATCTGCGTGAACAGGGAAAGGGAAAGTTTGATAGTAGGGTTGAACATCTATATCCTTGCATTGTTCATGGACTGAGGAATGCGGTGAACCTGTCTTTTCTCCCCGCAATAGTTAACTTGTCCACCGCCGCCTCTTTCCGACCGTCTTTCCTCCACCTCCTTCTCATCTCCCTGCGACACGACAATCACTTATCATCGCACTTTGAGCTCAACCTTCAAGAGCTCTCCCCTCTCCATCCCTCGAGCCTCTCCGGTGTAAGCATCAACAAGCAGAAGCCTGATTTAGCAGCCTTTCTGGATTGAGCCAACCATTAGTATTGTTGACATTGAAGGCCGAGCGCGAAACCGACGACCCCGGACCGCGTACTGAAGACGACTCAACAAACACATAAAGATTGTCTCAACACCCCCTTGGTGAGGACATGGCTATTAATTCTCCTGGCTCTGTCTCAACTGACGCATCAACTAGAAGATCTTTCGGGACTCCGCAATCGTGATGAAGGCATGGCAGCTACGTAGCTTTCGGCCAGCGAGGCCGAGGCCACCAACATCTCCACGGTCGCAAAAGCCATTCTTCTTCCGATCCAGCTCGTCGACCTCTCAGCAACGCGCCTCTGAGCGATCAGGAACTCTTCCTCTCGTTGGCACCGCCATAGCTACTGCTGTTGTCACTCTGCTGGCTTCTAAAGCGTGGGATGGAACCGCGGCGCCCACCGAAGCCGAAGCCGAAGCCGCCAAGACACAGTCGGGTGGAAGATATGCTGATCTCCCAACCATGTTGAAGGTACGATCCAGCCCAGTCCAGCCCAGTCCAGTATAGCATGCAGTTTGGCACCAATTATTCGAACCATTGCTTCTAACCGGTCGCGCGTAGGCTGTCAACGAGCTGCGAAGTATTCTAGGCGATGAATTTGTCAGTGTTGATGCCGAAGACATCGAGAACCATGGGTACTCGGATTGGTCGACCTCCAACACCACCGAACGCCCGGTCGCAGTCGTGAGTCCTGCCACGACTGAACAAGTCTCCCAGATCGCGCGTGTCTGCACCAGGTACAGAGTCCCTATGGTCCCATTCGGTGCAGGATCGAGTGTCGAGGGGAACTTCTCCGCCCCGCATTCCGGCATCTGCATCGACCTATCCCGCATGAACCAAGTGGTCGCGGTGTATGAGCAGGACATGAACGTCACGGTCCAGGCCGGGGTGCGATGGGTGGACCTGAACGATCAACTCCAATCGACCGGCCTGTTCCTGCCCATGGACCCCGGTCCAACCGCCTACATCGGGGGCATGATCGCCACGAACTGCAGTGGGACCAACGCCATGCGATACGGTACCATGAAGGACTGGGTGGTCAATCTTACCGTCGTGCTTCCCAATGGGTCCGTGATAAAGACCAAGCGACGTCCGCGCAAGTCCTCGGCGGGGTACAACCTGAATGCGCTGTTCACGGGGTCCGAGGGCACGCTGGGCATCATCACGGAGGCCACGCTCAAGCTGGCAGTGATTCCGCAAGAGACGAGTGTGGGGATTGCCACATTCCCGACCGTAGGAGATGCAACGGCGGCCGCATCGAAGCTGATCCGGGCGGCGGTACCCTTGGCGGCGCTGGAGTTTATGGACGATGTCCAAATGAGGATCATCAACCAGAATGGTGGCGCGGGCGGGAGGTACTGGGTTGAAGCCCCAACGCTGTTTTTGAAGTAAGTGTGTGCGCATTTGGATTGTGTAGAGCTGCCATGGGAGATGACTCTGACATTCTCAGATTCTCTGGCACCACGGCTGGAATCAATGAGAGCATCGACCGAACCCGGGAGATTCTCAAGAACAACAAAGGGGACGAGTTGGTGTTCGCATCAAGCACGGAGGAAGGGGACAATCTCTGGTCTGCCAGGAAGCAGGCCTTGTGGACGACCTTAGCGGCGAGGCCACCGGGCACGGAGATCTGGTCTACCGATGTTGCGGTGCCGATCTCACGTCTGGCCGAGATCGTTGGTGAGTAGTGGTCTCCAGCCAGTTTCTTCAGGCATGCTGATGGTTGGAACAGAGATGTCAAAGGAGGAGTCCAGTAGCCTTGGACTTTTCTCCACAGTATTGGGGCACGTTGGCGATGGCAACTTCCACCAGGCTGTAATGTACAATCCCAAGAGCCCTGAGCAGTATCGAGCTGTGAAGGCATGTGTCTCAAGAATGATGCAGCGGGCGCTCGAGATGGAAGGCACAGTTTCTGTATGTCCTTTAGACTCTTGCGCTTTGCAAACCCACACTGACGTTCTCAACAGGGCGAGCACGGCATTGGGATCGGGAAAAAGGTAATTCACCCGCTCTCTGACGACCCGTCAAAACGATATCTAACCTGAGCAGGACTACCTTGAAGAGGAATTAGGAGAACCCACAGTGGATCTCATGAGGACATTGAAGCGCAGCGTGGATCCTTAGTGAGGATGCCTCCGATCATGACTTGGCCAGTACTGACTTTGACTCATAGTTGGCTCATGAATCCTGGCAAGGTTTTCAAAGAGAAATGACATGAGTATTTGCCCTGAGATCTCAACAGTTCACACGATCAGCATGTTGATCATCCTTGGTCTTCCAGGCAACGGGCAATTGCCCCTAATTGCAACACACTACTGCCGACGCGGGTCATCAAGTCCACCTCCGACGTGGGCATGCAATATGAAATTCGCACATGACGACTCTATTGGTCCCCCTTGGGTCAATAGCTTATCTCGCCCGTCTATATGCCATCATCCTCATGGGATCAAGTTCTGCAAGCGAAAGTGCCAAGCTCAAGCCAAGACAACGGTCGCATTTCAGTGCACTTGGCACGACCAACTGAAGTGGTTCACTGCTGCCACGTGCAATGCTTGGTCTGTCTATCCGAAGTGATTCTGCAGAGTATCTCATCTCCTGCTCCTATTTTCAAGTCGCTTGTACTATTGTGTTAGCTGGATTCAGGAACAGAACAGGCTTGACATCCGACATTCTTGCAACCTGCATGCCAAGAATGCATCCACGTACGAACATCACAATATCTCCGCCAATGGCCGTGGACAATTGCAGCGCGTGGCGATCTTTTCCAAGCTCGCAAGAGACAACCCTGCTGCCGAGAGCTTAGCATAGAGACGAGCACCTCGGTTACAGCTAGTCATCTCATGATAGCTCAGGGTTCCCCTCTTGTTCCTCATCTATTTATCTGCCCCTGAACCAGCTGCTACACGCAACAAAGGCATTCTCCCGGAGGACGGATAAGCTCCAGTATGCGGAACCTTGAGCTTCTCGGGCTGAGTGCCCTCGCAGCTGCGTCGGCCTCTGTGGCCACTACCAGCGGCAAATTCACCGCACTGTGCTTCAACGTCGCTGGTCTGCCGGAGATTCTTAACAGTAATGACGTGAATGGCACGAAGACTGAGAACGCGGAGGAGCTTGGCAAGTATTTTGCAGAATATGGCTATGATATCATCCAGCTGCAGGAGGTATGTACTGTACATCCCACCATATTGTGGGTTGAGGAGCTCGCTCATCGAAATCAAGGACTTCAACTACCATGCATACATCTACGAGTACGACGACCACCCCTACCGCACGGCTACTTCGGGCGGTGCCGCCATCGGCAGTGGCCTGAACACCATTTCCAACTACGACTGGGTTGACTTCACGCGTGTCAAGTGGGACACATGCTCGGACGCCTCCGAGTCGGACTGCCTGACCCCCAAGGGCTTCACCTTCATGCGTTGGAACCCGTCCGAGGGAGTGTACATTGACTTCTACAATCTGCACGCGGATGCGGGGTAGGACATCATCCTCCATCAACACCATTGTGACCGCCATATCATGAACTAACAGACAACCTCACAGCACCGAAGACGGCGACGAAACCGCCCGTAATGCCAACCTCCAACAAGTCGCCGACTACATCGACACCTGGTCGACCGGCAACGCCGTGGTCATCATGGGCGACACCAACAGCCGCTACACGCGCAGCGCCGACACGGGCATCCGCGTCTTCAAGTCGCAGAACAGTCTCACGGACGTCTGGGTCGAGCTGGAGATGGGCGGGGTGTACCCGAGCGCGGGCACGGACTCGCTGATGTGCGACAACCCCTCCACGAACGAGACCTGCGAAACGGTGGACAAGGTGTTGTACCGGGGCTCCAGCCTCGTCACCCTGGCGGCCGACAGCTTCCGCTACGACGGCGAGGAATTCCTCAATACCAACCCAGAGTATCTGGGGGATGTGCTCTCTGACCACAATCCGGTGCTGGTCGACTTCAGCTGGACGCTGTCCTCGTCGCTCCGCCAGAGCGAGTTCTCCGGCGGGCCGCACGGCGACTGGTTCAACGACCTCCCCAGCTTGCCCGCCGCGCCGGTGGCCTCCGTGCTGACCTTCCGCGGCGCCGACCGGCTCGACGCGGTTGCGCTGAAGCTGACGGACGGGACCACCTTTAGCCACGGCGGCACTGGCGGGACGGCCGTATCGCTGACGCTGGACCCCGGCGAGTACTGGACCCAGGCGGTGCTGTGCGCCGGACAGTACAACAGCCACACCCGCAACTTCTATATCAAGGCTACCACGAGCGCTGGCAATGTAGTGGAGGCCGGTACCGCCACGAGCAACTGTACCACCTTTACCGCGGATGACGGGTATGCCATTGTGGGGTATATGGGGCAGGATGGCGATGAGATCGATCAGTTGGCTTTCATCTATGCTGCGTACTAGAATCGCGTCGCTGGGAAGGCGGTTCGAAGCTGTGAGGTGTGAGACTAGCATGGAATACATGAAGTTGATTTGTCGGTGACTTGCTCGCCTATTTTCCTTTGCGACCGCAGCCTAGCCAGGTATATGGTAGAGTCTGGGTGTTTGCGGTGTTACTTGGGCTTCTAGCAACATCCGGCGTCCCAGTCCTCGAAGTGTTCGACCGGGTGGTACTATCGCCCTTGTTCGAGCGCTAGACCATAAATCGCCCGCAGTGCATGGCGCACGTAGCGACGAGTGGTATGGAAAAGGTGCAATGATGGTTCAGATAATTGGTTGACAATTTTAGATGGAGTGCATGAGCGAAAGTGGCCCGCGATTATAGACGGCCCACAACCGGGTGAAGCATTGGGACAATGAGGTTATGCGGAAATTTGCACATCTCCGAAAGATACCGTGTGATAATCCAAAGGAAGAGAGATGCCAGGTTCTCGAGTATCAGGTGCTGTCCTTGAGTTCGCACTGTCCGGGGTTTGACCGCAAGAACCCCATCACATCCAGTGAAATGGAAACTTTATTTTCATACACCCGCTTGTGCATTCATATATCCGTCGAGATCCTACATATATTGCCTGAAATCATTAGCTGGATTGGATAAAGCTGGTATTGGCTTCTTCAACTTCGCACGCTTTCCCGATGCATGCCCACCGGGCCCGCCGGCATCGTATCCGATACTGACCAGACATACAGGAGGAATACTTCTCCGGGCACTCCTTTAACACAACTAACCGAAAGGATGATGCATTGAATGATTAATGGATCAATGGGAAACTCCCTGCTATTGTTGTCAGCACTCATCAATTCCAGGGGTAGTCTAATTCTAGGACAACTAGTTCATGCACATTGATTGCGCGCGCCTAGAAGCCCACTCTCGACCAATGAGTGACATTCCTTTTGCAAATGCTCCCAGCTTCCTCCACTTACTTTCCGATGCTAGATATAAGCGCCTTGGGTCAATATGCCTAGCTCCAGACCAGAACGAATAACCTGGCTTGGCTTGGATTGGAGCAGGGGGTTCAGGAACAATCCAGAACTCCGGAGGTCGCATTCGATTGGGACGGGACTCAATCAACTCGAGTGATTAAGTGACGTAAAAGAACAATACAGCAGTTCACTACTCTTCCATGAAGCCTTCAATCGCATTTGAGGGGAGATTGTGGCATGTTTTTGCATGGGCGATGGGTCCGCCAAGGCCTCTGGGTGGATTCCTTCGGGCGAGACCAAACAGGCAGATTAGGGCAAGACATGGTCTCAATCGGGGTCAACGCCACCAGACGCTGTCACATTGGGGACTTCACCGCACCCGTTCCTCCGTACTCCTGGAGCCCAGGGCCCAGGAAGATTCCAAGATTCCAGGTTCACCCTCGGAAACTGTGACCAGTCAAGCAGCCAAGAGCGATCGAACCACCCATGGTGCCCTTGGGGAGATTGCCTGCGGCGGTGTCGAGTTAGAGAGTAAGACCCAGGAGAGGCATCCGAGCCCCGTCCAGACCCCGTCCGGGTCCTGTCTTGCCTGCTGGCCTCCTGTCTCGAATGAAGCCAAGCCGCCGCTGCCACAAAAGGGCTTGGCAGGGAACTTGCCTCGGCGGATGGGAGCGAGCCAGACGCTCTCCGGTGGAGGCGGGCAGCATTTAAGATGAAACGTCGCGTCTTGGCGGGCTCCGCTCCAGTTCGCCGGCATTCAGAATTTCATCCTCTGGACGGATTCCGGAGTAGACCCTGCTCCAAGGGCCCTGATATAAGACCCTTCTCCTTGCTACTGCTGCTGTGCCTTTTCCTTTCTTTTCTTCTCCAGCTTGGATAGCAGTTCATTCTTTTTCTGCAGGTCATCTTCCTTCCATTCATTCATTCATTCACTTACTCCCTTCCCTTCATTTTTCAGTCCTTCTTTTTTTTACCACTCTTCTCTCAAAATGAAGTCCTCTACTTTCGGTATGCTCGCTCTGGCAGCAGCAGCCAAGATGGTCGATGCCCACGCCACCGTCTTCGCCGTCTGGATCAACGGCGAGGACCAGGGTCTGGGCAACAGTGCCAGTGGCTACATCCGGTCTCCCCCCAGCAACAGCCCCGTCAAGGACGTGACCTCGACCGACATCACCTGCAACGTCAACGGCGACCAGGCGGCGGCCAAGACCCTCTCGGTCAAGGGCGGCGACGTCGTCACCTTCGAGTGGCACCACGACAGCCGGGACGCCTCCGACGACATCATCGCCTCCTCCCACAAGGGCCCCGTCATGGTCTACATGGCCCCGACCACCGCCGGCAGCAGCGGCAAGAACTGGGTCAAGATCGCCGAGGACGGCTACTCCGACGGCACCTGGGCCGTCGACACCCTGATCGCCAACCGCGGCAAGCACAACATCACCGTCCCCGACGTCCCCGCCGGCGACTACCTCTTCCGCCCGGAGATCATCGCCCTCCACGAGGCCAACACCGAGGGCGGCGCCCAGTTCTACATGGAGTGTGTCCAGTTCAAGGTCACCTCCGACGGTGCCAACACTCTGCCCGACGGTGTCAGCCTGCCCGGCGCCTACTCCGCCACCGACCCCGGTATCCTCTTCAACATGTACGGCTCCTTCGACAGCTACCCGATCCCCGGTCCCTCCGTCTGGGACGGCACTAGCTCTGGCTCTGCTTCCTCTTCTTCCTCTTCTTCCTCGTCCAGCTCCTCCGCCGCCGCTGCCGTTGTTGCCACCTCCTCTTCCTCTTCCTCTGCTTCCATCGAGGCCGTGACCACCAAGGGTGCCGTCGCCGCCGTCTCCACCGCCGCCGCCGTGGCCCCTACCACCACCACCGCTGCCCCCACCACCTTCGCCACGGCCGTCGCCTCCACCAAGAAGGCCACTGCCTGCCGCAACAAGACCAAGTCCTCCTCCGCCTCTGCCGCTGCCTCCGCCGTCGCCGAGACCACCTCCTCCACCGCTGCCGCCGTCGCCGTCGAGACCACTGCCGCCGCCGCCGCTTCCTCGAGCTCCTCTGCCTCCTCCGCCTCCGGCACCGCCGGCAAGTACGAGCGCTGCGGTGGCCAGGGCTGGACCGGTGCCACCACCTGCGTTGACGGCTGGACCTGCAAGCAGTGGAACCCTTACTACTCCCAGTGCGTTGAGTCTGCCTAGATTCTGAGTGTCAGGGGGGTAGGACCAGATGAGATGTGGTTGCGTGTTAGACGTGGATGGTTCGGTGGGTGTTGGTTGTTGCCTGCTGGGGTGTTGACTAGATTCGTTGTATAAATTAATCAAATCCATTCTCTCTGGGATGTATTACTGAGTGTCTGTGTCGAGTGTAGCTTTTGCTGGGGTCTGGTTGGAAGTGGGTGTATTGCTCTCTGTAGGGTTGGCGTGTCATAGGGCTAAGGGCTGTGTCTGCCTACATGCATGGATGGCGGGTGAAGAGGGGAAAGCGGGTTGTTGTCATTCGATGCTGATTCCTCCAGTTCCAGTTGTCTATGCTTGAGAAGTAAAAGGTAGAAAATGAATGAAGAGGACTGACAAAAACTGACAACAACGATGATCTCGCCGAAGAGAAAAACAAAGCTGAGGGACGACGGACGGGAAAGGCTTGGAGGCGGCAAAAAGACATGACAAGGGTGGGATTCGAACCCACGCCATCTGACGATGATCAGGAAGCTTTGGAAAGCTGACTGCTAAGGTAGACCTTAACCTGACGCCTTAGACCGCTCGGCCACCTTGCCGGTTGATGTAATTAGCTGGCTTTTTGTGCCATATGTACAAAAGCTAAAAGTACCCGTCGTTGTCTTTTAACATCCGCCCCCTTGTGCGACCATGCTGCGATACTCTTTATTTATTTGTTGGGGGGTGAGGCTCTGTTTCCGCTTCTACTATTGCTACATCGGTAATGTTTTCATTGCGATGAGCTCGCGTGGCTCACGATGCTCTCTTATCCGGTGCAATACTCCATTCCATCCCGCCATCTGACAATTTATATATCCGCTTGCTGTCCGCACCTGCCGGAAAACCGGGCTGGGGACTCAACGGCCACAATTTCTGGGAATGGGAAAGCATGCACCTGGATCACCGACTCTAGCTGAAAGGGGATCTACAGATGAGATGCACATGTGATGACCATTCCCACAGCTTGAATATTGACCCAAAAAGAAAATCCAGGGCAGGTCGGGGGAGCGGACAACGCAGCCTTCTCTCCTCGAACCGAGGCCGATTCTCCGCGGCGCACAGTGATCATCGATGGGGCTTTTCACTGCGCGGCAAGTATGCCATGGGTTGGCTGCATGAAGTCGACTATCTCCAGTCCCCAATCGAAGAAGAAACACCAACCAACCGCACGACAGCCTATAGCGCCAGCCACGGCGCCGAAAGCAGGGTGTTGGGGAACTGGGCGAACCGGTGCACGGTGGTCAGCAGACGGCGCGCCAGCGCAGCGGCCTCCTGGGCGCTCAACACGTCGCTGGAGGCGAGGACCTGGATCTTCAGCTCGCGGCCCGCCACGATGGACCGGATAAGCACCTGGTCGGGCAACTGGATGCGGAGGTCGGTGGACCGGAACGCGGTGTCGGTGCCATCGAAGGCGAGCGGCGGGGGCCCCTCCCCCGGCAGATGGTTGACGATGCACCCGAACCGCGTGCCGCGCGGCCAGCGCGTGCTCTGGGCGGTGATGTCGGCCAGATCCAGCACGCTGTGGCGCGAGATCTGGAGGTAGTGCTCGTGCAGCGCGTGGCAGAGGTCCAGCACGGACCCCGCCGCTCCGGCCGGCAGCTGGACGCGCACCGGGTTGATGTTGATGCACCGGCCCAGGATGCTGGTTGTGCCGCGGACCGGGTTCTCGCGCGTGTCCATCACCAGCTCGAAGGTGATGTCGTTGGTGTCGGTGTACTGGGATAGGATGAAGGCGAGCGCCGCGTTCGTGAGGGTTGAGAGTGTGATCCCCGGTAGGCAGCGCGGGAGCGCGTCGATCGCGGTTTCTTTGATGTCGGTGATGCTATCGCTGTCTGGGGCCGCTGTCGAGACGCCGGCGAGCGTCGTCATCGTCGCGCCCCGGAGGTATCGGCGCCAGAAGTCGAAGGCCGCGGCCGTCTGGTGCTGGTGGCGGCCATACATATACCGCGAGAACGGAGCGGCGATCGCGGGGGATGGCAGGACGCCGCCGGCACTGTAGGCGGTGGTCAGGTCGGAGGACAGGTAAGGCAACGAGAGCCCGTCGTACTGGGCGTGCGAGAGCTGGAGCACAAAGGCGTGTTTCGTGGGCGACTGAGAGATCAGCGTGAATCGCGTGGGCGGTTTGCCTAGCACCAGAGGGTTCTGACGGCTGAGATTAGGGATCTCACAGCCCGGACAGTCGGCGCAGAAGGAGGAGTCCGCGGTATGTTGTTCTGCTAACCGGTGGGAGAAGCACTCCGCGAAAGACCGGAGGACCACTTGGACAAAACTGCCTCGAAGCCTGGTGAAGACGGTACGCAGAACGCTGTGCTTCTGGACCACCGCACGGCAGGCGGCTCGCAGTCGGTCGAGATCTACGGGACCGTCGACCATGAAGGAGATGGTCACTGGGGTCCACTGGGTGAGAAACCAGACCTGGCATCCTGTCAATGGGAGGATGTCGAGGATGGCGTCTGTCGACGTAAGCCCTAGCTCGCCAAGCTCGGCCGGGGTGAGAGACGAGGAGTCGTAGTCCAGGAGGGGAAAGGGTGGGAAATCCTGGTGCTGAACCTTTGGGCTCGAGAGCAGCGAGGTCTGCATCTCCAGAGCCAGAGTCGCCACGGTGGGATGTTGGAAGAGGTCTCGCACCGTGATCGCAGTGTCCAGCTGGTTGTTGATTCGCGTCACCACCTTGGTGGCCTTCAGTGAATCGCCACCGTGGTCGAAGAAGTTATTGGTAATGCCAATATCCGTCCCCAAAATGTCGCTGAACACTCGAGCCAAGGTATGCTCTGTATCATTGCCTGGTGCTACTCTCTCTGGTATTACCTTCGATCTGGAACACACGTGGGCCTGCTTTGCGAGCGCCTGGCGATCGACTTTACCGTTGTTGTTCAGGGGCATCTTGTCCACAACCACGATCAACCGGGGCACCATGTACTGGGGAAGCCGGGCCTGGAGCATCTGCCGCAGCTCTCGCTCGGTCTTCTGATTCTGTCGCTGTTGGAGAGGATGGTTGCTTAACGTTCGAAGCGACCGACCCGTATGGTCAGTGGGGAATCGGAAGAGCACTCGCCCTGTCTTGCTTTGCGTCTGGTTGCGGTGGAAGATAGCATCCAGTCCGCCGCGCTGGGAATGCTGCCGGGCCCAGCTGATCTCAACCTCGAAGCCCGTCTTCCGAGCCAGTGCAACCAATTCCACCGGTGAAAGAGACGGCGGGGATTGGCTCATGGGACGGAGGGTCTGGAGCCGGTGGTTGCGGGCAGCCAGCACATTCACAGACGGATCATCCAGAAGATCGACAATCTGCCTTTCTAAGATCGTCTTCCGGTACGGGATGTTGCTCACAGCGACCAGGGATGACTGAGTCGACTTCTGCAGAAGCCCCAAGAGGGATTGGTCATCCATTGCAGCGCCCCCAAAGTCAATCCAGTCGCTCTCCTGAACCTCGTGGACCTGGACCGGCGGGTGCTCCTCCTGCCGGGCATGCAGTACAGCCGCATAGCGGTAGCAGCTCAGCTCGTTTGTTGCGTCCATCTTCTTGGGCAGGATCTCGACGTGTTCGATGAGGTCGGGGAGCTGACTTGCTAGCATTGTGAAGAACGCAGGATCAAGAAGTAACTCTTCTTCCACACCAGGAGCCTCAGCAATGGTCTGTTGAACGTCGTCCACCGTCGCTGCGTCGCCCAGACGGTGCAACACCTTGGACACCTGGAACTCTTGGTAAAGTGCATAAGACCGTACGTCACCCAAGAAGATGCGCTTCACACCCTGCAGTTGCACCAGGTCCTTAATCACCTTCATCAGGTACCCCGAAGAGGGGAAGTATTGGGCAACCGAGTTCAGGATGGCAAGATCATGCGACTGGTCGCTCTGATGGTGACAAATGTCCGCCGCCGTGCCGACATGCATGGAAATCTTCTCCGCCGCCCCGGAGATTGACTGGGCAGCCGCGGTGACAAGTTGGACTGCATTGCGCGCCGGCTCCACGCCGACATACCGCTGGAGATGATGGATCAGATTGAAGAGGACCATCCCACTCCCCGTGCCTACTTCCAGCACGGTATCATGTGGGCCGCTCTGACGGATAGTGTCAGTCGTGTTGTCCAGCCATTCGTTCATCGCCCCGGCATCGATATTGTTTCCATCGTACATCGAGGTCCATCCGACGAAGTCTCGACCGATTGTGTCAGGTCCCAGATCGGCCATCGCGCCGTAGTTGTCCGTGTTGAAGAGGTCGGTCCAGCTGCTGACCTGTTCGGTCGAAGTGTCTTCAGCAGGGTGCGCGCCCGGGGCTGAGTCTTGCGCTTCGAGAACCGTGACGAAGCCGAGAATGCTCGAACCCCCGTCTTCCTGTTCCTGCTGCTGTACCACAGCCACAGCATCACTGACCGAACTGTGGGCGAGCAGGGTCTGCTCGATCTCCGCGAGTTCGACGCGATAGCCGCGGGTTTTGACCTGCTGGTCCATCCGCCCGAAGCATTCCAATTGCCCGTCCGTTGGCAGATACCGCACGCGATCCCCCGTCCGATACGTCCGGGTGGGCTGCCCGCCGATCTCGACAGTCACAAAGCGGTCCTGGTCCAGCTGCGGGTCGGTGTAGCCTCGCGCGAGCCCGGCACCGGTGACGACCAGCTCCCCCATGACCCCGGGGGGCACGAGACGCAGGCTCGGATCCATCACGTAGGCGCCGGAGTCCGTGAGGGCCCGGCCAATTGGCACCCCATTCACACATCGCTCCCCGCGAGGGACGCGGTATATCGTGCTTCCCCCGGTGTTCTCCGTCGGGCCGTATGTATTGACAACCGCGCCCCCACCTTTGATCAGCCCCTCCGCCATGGCCAGGTCCTTCGGGCTCGATCGATCGCCTGCCACCATCAGCAGGCTGAGGCTGCGTAGTGTCTGCGGGTGTTCGTCCAGGCAACTCTTGAGCAGCGCGGGGGTGAACATCGCGGCGTGGACGCCCGCGGTGCTGAACACCTCATTCAACCGGATCGCGTTCATCACGGCATGTCATCGATGCAGACCAGAGTTCCGCCGTTCAGAAGCGCCGTGTAGATCTCCCACGTCGAGATATCGAAGCCCAGGTTGGCCATGTGAGCGATGCGGTAATCCGGCGGAGAGCGGAGTAGTGTGCCGTTGCTCTTCGCTAAGCGGATGATGCCGCGATGCTCGATCATGACTCCCTTGGGACGGCTGGTGGGCCCCGAGGTGAACATCACGTAGGCCAGACTCCCCGGGCGCGGGGGCACAATCGCCGGGGCCCCGTGCAGGGTTCCATGTGGCTCCGGATGATCAGGCTCTGGTGCGCAAATGAACTCGACCCCGGCGCGGTGGACGGCCCGGGGCATTGACGTCCGCTCCTAGCAGAACGAGTCAACAGCCCGGAACGGATGCCAGGATCGTCTCGATGCGGCCCGCGGGGACTTTGACGTCCAGAGGCAGATAGGTCGCAAAGGGCATCAGATACCAGTCAGAGCCGGGGTGCAATTGTTCCAAGAACCATAACCGTCCCTGCGCAAATGACTGTTGGACCGGACCATGGCTATGGAGCGAGGTATCGAGACGTATTTCTTCGACCGTGGTAGTGGTGTGATTCGCTCGGCCAAGGTGGCGATGTCTGAGCACTCGAAAACATCTTGAGCAGTAATGGCAACGTCGAGCTGTTTGTTGATCCGCGATGCCACCATTATAGCATCGATGGAGTCTCCGCCATAATCAAAGTAGCTATCAGCGGTCTCAATCTTTGTCAGGGGTTCCGATGACTTTGCTGAATTCTTGAGCTAAAGCATGCTCGGTATCACGGTCTGGGACCGGCATTGTATTAGATGTCGAACAAGCGATGGCCTTTCTTGTCGGTGTCGAGCGGTTGACTTTATCGTTCATAGGCTACTTTCTCCAACAGCACAGCTAGCTACCCAGGGAATATTCTTGAACAATGCGAATCCGGCCAAGACAAAGTGAGCTAGCTGATTTGAGTCCCCAATTCCAGAGAATAGCGGAGCACGCCTTAGTTCACACACTTGTGATGTGATGTATCAGTTGGGCATCTAGTATCTAGTAAGTAGAGCCAACCCTCGTAAGATATAAGAGTCAACCCTCATGGACCTGTGCCTGCTCGTTTGTACTACATGAGAATGACCTTCTGAGTAGACAGTCACTCCTCAGTGGAACATGCACATGCAGGCTGTTCACCCGCCACCAATTTGACATCTGACTCGTATCTTCGACCCTTGCCTTGGGATGTAAAGCAGGCCGGGCTTCCACCTTACATTTCACCTACATTTCACCATTTCACCTCTGCTCGACCTGTCCAAGTTGCCTTCGACCTTGCTTTTGTTGGTTTGCTTACCAGGTCTCTCGAATCGGCCGACAACCCCGCCCCCCCCCGGTCGGTTAGCATTATCATTATTCGTAGCCTGAATCATGTTCTCGGAAGGCTTGGGCCACAGCCGAATGCCGCACGCAGTTCTTAGCAAGCAACCACTGCAGGCAAGGTACATTATGCGCCCCTTGCCATCTGATCTACGTCGCTCACTTATCTATCTCGCCTCGCTTTGAGGCTTTGCGGTGTTTTATTGGGGAGAACCCGGGAAAACCACCCGGCCTCTACCAGAGCCGACTTCCACATGTGAAGCCCCCCCCAACCGACGGATTACTCATGAGGCTGAAGGGCGCTGGGGCTTTCCCTCCCAGTGCAGAAGCAATACCATATCATCGAGGTCAAGTATTGAGCCTCATCGCTTTGCAGTGAATGAATGGTTTATCTACGTCCCCGGGTCGCAAGGAGACCAGATGTCGTACGGAGCTTCATTTCCCCACCTCTCCTTCTCCTTTCTTCGCCACAGCACAGCATACCACATTCTCGCAGGCAAAAAGACGGGCCCTTACCTCCTCTTTGTGAGACAGTACGTGACTCGAGATAACTAATGAACAGGGCTTGTGCAGAGAATTGTAGGGTACAGCAGCGTCGAAGGAATATTACCAAGGTCTAGCGATGGATGTTAGTGCTAGCACCGCACCCTCCATTTGTCAAGTAGGATATCCTAGGTTCAAAAATGAAAAGCCAAGGTAGTCGTTGCTTTCGTAGCTCTGAATCTTCGTTTATCATGGTCCAAGTCATTGTACTGTACAGTATTATAAATCTTATTAGGTTCTAGTTGCCGCGTTCATCCTCGTCGTCGTCATGAATGCGAATCTCCACTACCGCCACTATCCGCCGCAGCACCCCCTTCTTCCTTCACCAACTCATTCCACCGCTGGATGACCTCCGCCCGCTGCTGCGGCGTCGCGGCACTCATCTCCTCGATGCCCTGCTTGATCCGCGAGGTGAGGATCTCCTTCGTCTTGCTCTTGGCCAGGGAGTTCCGCAAGCTCTTGTGGATCCCGTCCAGCGGGTATCCTGCGAGGCCCCAGATGCCTACCGCCCTCGATCAGCACATTGACCTCCCCGGGGAAACAGTACACCAGAGAAGCGACTTACCGGCAGTAGGCTTAAAGAACACCCCGCCCACACCCTTTCCAATTCCCTTGACGAAGCCGCCGCTGCCGGATTTCTCCATGCCGAGCATCGGCTGGGTGATCAAGCCGGTCACGCCGTGGTAGAGGCCATGCGTGAATTCCTGCTCATTTTGTCAGCCACACCAGTTCCACGCTTATCCAGCCGTCGAGCCAGGAAGGACCTACCGTGCCTGCCGCGCGGAACCCGCTCCTCACACCCAGCACCTTGGGCGTTTTCTCCACCGTGGAATCGTGGTACAGCTTCGGGGCATTGTGGAACCCCTTGGACAGACTCAGCGTCACGTCGGTGGGGATCATGATCGCCCAGTTGAGGATGTGTTTGGCCATCTTCCCGGCGTGATAGGTGGCTTCCCCGAAGAACTCTTTCGCGCCGGACTCCTCGCGCGTGCGGAGCCGGGTGATCGTCCGCTCCAGGTCGAGTTCCTCGCCGATCACCGGGTCCGTGTCTGGCTCTAACGTGGTCTGGGAGCTACCGGAGCTCGTCCGGGGACTGGTCTCTTCGCCATGGTCGGAGCGACTCGACTCGCTGGCGCTGTCGCTGGGGTGGTCTTCTTCGGCGGAGACGTAGGCCTCGTCGGACTCGTCGGATGATAGGCGGGAGTGGCTTGCAGTGTTGACGGGCCGGTTCGCTTGAGCGCGCATTTTCCGGAGGTCGCGTTGGCTCAGTTGGCTGCTCTCTTCCCCAACCCCGGAATCAAGAGAGGACTTCGTGCGCCGGTAGAGGGACGCACCGTCCCGCTGCTGCAGTTCGCGCACGTGCTTCCATTCCTTCCGGCGACGGTGCCGATGCTCCCGGGATGTGGAAAACATCGTTGCCACGCCGTTGGGGACGTCGGCGATGCCGCTGACGAACCCGGAGACGATGCCGTAGAGAACCTCCGCGCCGGCGGTCAGGGGACCGCGAGGGTCGCGGTTCGTGTCGTATTCGATCGACCGGTATCTGGTGGAGTTGAGCGTGAGTTGCTTGCACATGTGGCACATGATAACTTACAGGACTACGTTCCGTGGGTCGATCAACCCCGTCTCGACCAACACTGCCGCCGCGAATGTGCTGAGTTTGATGTGAGAATGCCGGACCCACCATACGGCCGGCAGATGGGGACAGATTGAGCACTGCAGACTCTGCAGGTCGAGATGTTGATAGAAGCTGATGGCCGCATTCCGCACACCTTGTTCCGAGCGCATCTGCTCACCGATTTCCTTGGCCTTTTTTTTGGTGGAGGGCTCCAAGGCCGTCTTGATCGCCTCCGTGAGCTTCTCCGTCGTCAATTGTTTGTAGGGAATCGGCTGTGGACCCGCACCCGCACGCGCGACAATGGAGCCCCAGAAGGGCTGATCGCCGAAGAAGGGGATGATCACCGTGGGACAGCCCAGCACCAGGCCGGCGGCCGTAGTGCCGGCCCCACCGTGGTGCACCACGCAGGAAACGTGCTGGAACAGCCAGTCGTGTGGAGCCTTGCTGATCATTAAGATGTTGTCGGGAATGTCCTTTTCGTCGGCTCCGAGATTCCCCCAGCCCTTGTTCACAATGGCCCGTTGGCCACTCGCCTTAATGGCCTCGAAGACGATCCTGGTCAATGAGCCTGGATTGTCGACGACGATGGATCCGAAACCGATATAGATGGGAGGAGGGCCTGCTTTGAGGAAGGAGGCGAGGTCGTCCGGAGGCTTGTAGTCGGACCCTGAAGAAAGAAACGAGAAACCCACCACATCGATATTCTCGGCCCAGTCCGAAGGCTTGGGCAGGAGAGCCGGCGACCTAGACCGGTCAATGAGAGTCATCATGAACAGGGATAATGTCTCTCACCATAGATATGTAAATGGGATTTGCAGTTGATGTGCTATACTCGGCGCACGGATAGCATCCAACGGATCCAGACCCAGTTCGCGCTTGCGAAACTTGTTGATCAAGTCTCCCAGACCCTCCCACATCATGATTTCAACGATCGCATACGACGCAAAGTTCGCCGCGGACGGCTTGGTGTTTTGCGACCGCACCGTGGCCAGTGGATGAGGGAATGACTGCGTGGCCGACCATGGCATTCTAATCACGTTGTCAGCCACAAAACAAATCCAAGCGCGCGGCTTCAAAACACCTACGTGAACATCATGTTCAGGGGAATGCCCAATTTCTCCGCACAACTCAAGTGCGCAAAACTGGGCGGGTTGGCGATAATCGCATCGGCCACAAACGGCTTGGTCCTGTAGTCGCCCGTCTCGCTCCAGGGATCGTCGGGGATGTGATGCATGCCCGTCCCGTCGCCGGTTTCCCAGCACGACCGCCAGCACCCCGAGAATATCGTCTTCATTTCCCGCCGTCGCCGTCGGATCGCCCCGCTTCGTATCGTACTCATATGCGGCATCAGCCCGGGGTTCTTGACCATGAACGCCATCAGCTCCGCGGGATCCCCTCCGATGCTGAAGAACTCGAGCCCTTCGTCCTCGATGACTTCTCGAAAAGCCAGATGGGTCGCGAGGCGGACGCGATGGCCGTGGGACTTGAGCACCTTTCCCAGCGCGATGAACGGCTGTACATCCCCGCGGGAGCCGACCACTTGGACGACGATGTTGAGTTTGAGGGGGCTTTGGTGTTCCTCGTCCCAATCGTCTGCATTGATACAGAAATCGTTCTTGCCTTTCTCGAGTTCGGGTGGTTGGGATTGGAGGTGTTGCAGGATCTTGGTGACCCAGGGTTTGCGGTCGCGGAATTTGATATCGAGACGGCCATCGTCTGGAGAATGGGTATAACGGTCAGCTATTGTCACACAGGACGGGGTTGTCGTGACACGCACCCATAATCCGCACCCCAGTATTTAGACCTTTTTCATGGTAATGGGCGCGCCGTTTGGAGTGACGATGGCCGCTGGAAGAGGGCTCGTCGTGGGCGAGCCGATCCTCAGGCCAGTCGTCGGCTGTTGAGCCATGGTGGGACGGCATGGGTGCTGGCAGATGGGGTAGACCATGCAGGGGTGAGGAGAGTTGGATATTGGATTGAGAATTGTGTCTGTAGAGGGTGGCAGTGCTGTGACTGATCAGGAAAGAGGGAAAAGCAAGAAAGAGGAAAGAGTAGGGTAAATTGGAGAAGGATCAAGGCGAATGGAAGGAGAAAGAGAAAAAAACGTGCAGGTCGCGAGACCGCATTATCGAAGAGTCAGACTCAAGTGCGGGCAGTGACGCCATCAGGGCCTTTGGGTCCACAGCCCATTGCTTCATGGAACATCATCGGAAGCTCGGGACACGCGGGTGATTGACTGACGAACAAGGAACCGGTGGGTCGCCTATCTCGTCCCTTCGTTCGGGGTTCTTTGAATGGGTAAGCAGCTAGCTCATCAGGGTCCAATCTCTTCTTGGCTTGTTCGGGAGTTCTCCGAAAGGCGCAACAGCCTCAGCCTTGTTTCGAGGGTCTGGGACCGCGGATGGTCAAGGAGAAATCTTGCATGGAGGATGGAGGAAGAAAAAGAGAAAGAGAGAGAGAGAAAGACGGCGATGAGATCATCCCATCCCACGTGACATGGGTAGCCCACGTGACTAACCACTGCCAGAAGAAGTCGGGTAAAACCTGTTTGATGACTCTATTTGGCTTTATTGAACTAGGTAATAGTTCAACTACCGCCATGATTCTCATGCTATCAGTCCATGAGGTTCAGTTGTATCAGTGGCATGGATGTTTTCTGAATATCCGAGATCCCCATCGGTCTACGAACATTTGACTGTTAGTCGGGAGCCCCACGCCCCGCTTCAATAGTAGGAGTCGAGGGTGCGACCAAAGCCACACATACCACCAGATGTCAGCTATACGGCATCAACCTCATCTATGGTAGTATCTCCTTTCAGATCGTGAAACAAAGAGAAATCCCAGCACAATGAATCCCGAGATCCCCGCATACGATACTTTTCCGATCACCGTGGAGGGAACCCCCTGCAGATATCCGCGCTGATCCGCCGGGGCCGGCAACCCGCCATCCTGTGGCTGCACGGCTTCGGCTCGTGCAAAGAGGAGCTGCACGATCTGATCTTCCAGCGACCGCTGAAGGAGCACACCTTCCTCGCCTACGACGCGCCCGGGTGCGCCGCGACACACACCGCCGACCCGAGCGCCGCCACCATCGCCTTCATGGTCGCCACCGCGGAGGCCGTGCTGCACCACTACGGTGTCGACCGCTTCCACCTGATCGGCCACTCGATGGGCGGGCTCGTGGCCCTGATGCTGGCCGATCGCCACCCGGACCGCATCCTCAGCTTCGTCGATATCAAGGGCAACCTGACCCTGGAGGATTGCTTCCTCAGCCGCCAGATCTTCACCCACCCCGGGTCCACCCCGGAGGAATTCTTGGAGATGTTGATCGAGCGCACGCGCAGCAACCCGGCCTATTCGACCGCCCTGTACGCGTCGACGCTGCCCGCGCGCGTCCGGCCCGCCGCGATCGAGCCCATCTTCCGGTCCATGGTGGAGCTGTCCGATGGCGGGGACCTGATGGACCGCTTCCTGGCGCTCCAGTGTCCCCGGATGTTCATGTACGGCGAGCTGAACCGCGACCTGTCGTATCTGGGCACCTTGCGCGAGCACGGGGTCGCCTTGGCGGAGATCCCCCAGAGTGGCCACTTCCCCATGTATTCCAACCCTGTCGACATGTTTGGGCGCATTGTCGGGTTCATGAAGCGCAGTGCGGTGATCTAAAGTATTAGACTGTAGATGGTTGGCGAAAGTATGGTACGAACAGTGTGGTTCTGTTTTTCTGAGATACAAAAGTACCGGTTAACGGGATGAGTGGGCTTGAGGATTTCCACGAGTCATGTAGCAGTACCTGTGCCGGTGGATTGCTTCCAGACATTTGCATCGATATCGGGCTGCTGAGTGGCGCATCCGCACCGCGTTGCGGCCCGGCCTCTAGCATTGCAAATAGAACTGAGGTAGCCATGGAACAGCCAGTGGCTCATCGCTGCAGAACAATTGTAGACGGCTCTAGGGCAGCAGATAATGATAAAGGTTGTTGGTAAAAAGGACAGAGACTTAGAAGAGGCGGGATGTGGGCAATGAACGCTCTCAAAGAATGGTAGCGGGAAGTCTCAACATTGATATAATGGATCGCCTCAGTGAACGCGACACTGTGTCGATCAGTATAAAGAAACGCACAGAGAGAGCTCAAAGTCCGCAGCTGGACGAAGAGGTTAAATACAACGGTTCTAAGTGAACAGCCTACTGATTTCAAACCCCAACCCTCATAATTTACCCGGCTTTCCAGTTGGTGAAAATGGCTTCCAGAATTTGCGGATCTCGATTCTACGTTGGCCAAAAAGGCGATCCGCGGCGAGAAGCCACCATCGGTGGGATCATCTCGCTGTATGGGACCGTCTACGGACTGACAGTTCTTCGCCCATTCCTAGCAGTCCCAGACCAAGAGGCCATGTTCATCGAGGAGAAGACTCCGGTGTCCGAGGAGCAGAACGAGGAAGCCCTGTGGGCGCCCATGTCGAGTTATGACGAAGCCGGGAACTCCCCGCTCTGCTCGAGTGACGTGAAGCTGTGCCCATTCTTCGCTTTTGAGGCCTCTGATTACCAAACCGACCAGCGGATTGGGGCGATCCCTGACCTCCCGGGTCTCGGTGCAGCAGACCCGAAGTTCTGGCATCTGAAAGGGAATTGGGCTCTGGTCCGTCTGGACGATCAGGCGCTGCTTCTCAACGAGGATACGACCTCGCTGCACTCGATCTCCAAGTGCAGCGTCCCGGCGGGTCGATTGCATGTTGCAGTCAATCACCGTCCGCGTCGGCTGAAGAGTCGCAAGCTCAACGTGATCGACATGCCCCCCGTCGGCCGGATGTACACCCTGTCGATGGCGGGCTACCCGGTGGATAGCGGAGCATGGATTGTGGATATGGGCAGTATGTCCGTGTTCGCGGTTGTGTTTGGCTGGCACCAAGGCAAGACCTATGCACGTCCGGCGTTTGAGGTGTTTAATGAGCTCTTCACTCGCTTCTGGGAAGAGCCACCGATGATCACGATGAAGCTGCCAACTGAGCAAGAGAGTGATTGAGCCGTAAAAGCAACCTAGTATAGATGGCAGAATAGCGATCGCTGAGAATTCATCACATAAGACATTTCAAATCCACAAGATGAATTTCCGTAAAAGCTCAAGCAGCTGGTGACTGGGTTAGTTGCAGCCCAAGTGGTGTTTGTCAAGCGAAATCGGTGTGACGGAATTGTCCAGTGTACACTCACTATGTGCCCCTTTGCAACCCTCAGAACCTGGCGTTGTGATGCAGAGGTACTGACCACCATGTTTCATGCACGTTATACAGTACCTTGATGGTGATCTGTATGACAAGCACTTACCAACATTCTGTCGGACCCATAAAATAGAATCTCTTTTTTCTTTCCCTCTGTTTTGATTTACTGTATCTGCTGCTGCTTGATTTTTACAGCCCGCCCCTTCCGGGCAGTGTCTCTAGTCTAGTTGCGTGACTTAGGGCACGGTATGTAGATAGCACTGTGGTGTTGACCACCACAAGGCAGTTCGGACATTCTTTTGACAGCCCGGTGGGGGCCATTCGCACGGACCGTGTGACTTTTTCAGCGTCATCAAGAGGGTTGGACTGGGGTATGAGAAGGCAGTGCTGGGCTTACATGCTTACTTCGTGGTTGCGCCCCCACTCAGGCACAAGGGCTTGGCGGCATGCATCCCACTACAGGCGCATGCTTGACCACCTTAACTGCAGTACGGCCCACCATCTACGACAGCATCAAATGCTGCTGCGGCCATTGACTCGGTCCTGGTACGTCCAGGTGAAACCTACTTAAGAGGCCTCAAAGGCACCACCTGCGAACATGCTAGACCAGCATCACCAGTGAATCCAGCAAGAACCCCAACCATCATGGATGTATCTTCAGGCGTGATCAATGCCTTCGCCTCGAGCCTGAGCCCGGAACAGATTGCTGAAGCGGAGAAATCTATCGACAGTGCCGGGCGGATTACACTGTACCAGTTCAAGGTGAGCTGACGACACTACTACACCCACTACCCATTACCCTCTACCCACTGCACCACTCGAGAATTCCCCTAACATCCAAACCAGATCGCAATCGGCGTCCTTCTCGGCCTGGCATTCTTATCCTTCTCCGGACGCATCTTCATCCGCCTCTTCACCCGACGACGACTCTACCTGGACGATGGCTTTCTCATCCTCGCCTTCATTTGTCTGTGCGTGGTGACCGCCATGCTCTACCTGCGGGTGCAGATCGTCTACATCCTGTTCGGGGTGCTGTCCGGGAACTCGGCCGCGTATGCGCTCGCCATCAAGCATTACGACAAACTACTGGAGCAGTCCAAGTGGCAGCTCGGATACATCACGCTGCTGTGGACGGTGGTCTTCTCCGTCAAATGGTGCTACTTCGCGTTTTTCTACCCGCTGCTGCGCAACGTCTCGCGGAAGCTGATCTGGTACTATCGCTTCGCGATCGTCTTCTCGGTCGCATCCTGGATCGCGATCGTGGTGGGCGAAGAGCTCATCGCATGTCCGTACCTCGGGGAAGAGGCAGGCAGTACGTCTCCCCAAAAGCCCACTCACTCTTGCCCCACGACAGCCGTATATCAGCATCTAACTCAACCTCACACAACCCAGAGAAATGCTTCCCCGATCTTCCCGCGTCACGAACCTCCCTACTCGCCGCCTTCTGGGCCTTCCCCTGCCTCGACGCTCTAAGCGATTTAATCAGTGCGTCTGGCTTACCCTCTCCCACCCCATCCCAGCCCATCCCATTCCCTTCTCCCTCCTCCAATCGACCTGCTAACCATCCACCCAAGTCGTCACCATCCCCATCCTCCTCCTCCGCAACGTCCAGCTCCGCACGCTCACCAAGCTCGGCATCGGCTGCTTCGTCTGCCTCTCCGGCTTCATGTTCGCCTGCTCCATCATCCGCGCCGCGGGGACCTACTACCGCAACGCCCTGGACTACCCGTGGCAGGTGTTCTGGCTGCACGCGGAGGCCTGCATCGGGGTGAGCATGGCCTCCATCACCGCCTACCGGTCGACCCTGATCGGGTCGAACGAGGTCTCCGACCGCGTGCGCGGGTACCTCAGCCGGATCAAGCGGACGTGGAAGCAGCGGACGGATGGCTCGGAGGTGGAGAGTCGGCCGCGGACTGCCCCGACCCATGACAAGAATCGATGGGGGTTTCCGCGCATCCCGCGCGGGACGATCACCGGGTTGCGGAGTGTGTTGGGCCGGAGTACCGCACACAGAGATATGACGGTACTGACGGCGGGGTCGATGGGAGGCGAGGAGGAGGCGGATTATCATGCTTACTTGAAGGGGGGGAAGGGGTCTATTGGTAAGGATTTCCGGCGTGGAAGACATCCAAACTTGGGGTAGATGCTAATCTGGTTTTGCTGGCAGCTAGTAGTCATACCCGTGTTGGGTCGAGGGATACTTAGGGCTGAGCGATGTGAGTTCGATTTGGTATGAAGAAAATGTGCTATGATTTTGAGGTTAGAATTTGTGTGCTACGCCAATGAGATCTCTGTAGAGGCGCAGCTGCGTTGTCAGGCACTTGCTATAGACGATTACGCTTCGTAATGAATTGCTCGATAACTGAGTGAAACTGCAAATTACCTTGCGTCAGATTCTCTGCGATCGAAACATGCTATCATGAGCACTGCCTTATGGACATTCTCCAACTCAGAACCTGGTATGCAGGCACTGCCCCCAACCACCAACCCTATCCGGTCTCTCGCATGGGCGACGCGTGGAAATCAAGGAGCGATTACCGAGTAGTGTAGAGAAGGGACGGGCCGAAAAAAGGGTGGTCAACGACCATTCATCGAAGGGAAATGGCATGATGCATCATTATTCATCTTCTGAGCTTCTAGCAAGCACACTGTGTTGGTTGCACGTTTAGAGACATCTACGGATGCTCGCGATTCCGGATTATACGGTGACTGATCAGCTTTGCCACTAGACTGGTAGTGTGAATCACGTATCAGGATTGAAGATCGGCATTAGAACGCATACTGTCTTCTAGAAATCAATGAGATATGTCGAGCTTGCCTCACAGTGGCTTGTTGGTTGATGCCTTGATGGCGGGTTGGCCAAGCTGCAATCCCAAAAAACAAGCAAGACAATGGTATTTCACATCTGATCTTGAACCAGACCAACCACAATACCAGATGAAGAAAGCATATCCTAAGTGACACTAAGCCATCAAAACACCCAAAATCCCAAGCATTACAACCACCCACCCAGTCCTTCCTACACTGACAACCCCCCCCTCCCCGCGCTGCTGATTCTCATACGGATCCTTCAACTGCCCTACCTGCCCTTGACTCACATTGACAACTGTAAGAAACCCATCCATCACCGCCGAATCATCCGCACTGGTATGGTACAGCGGCGCGCACGCCTCCACTGCCGTCCGATTCTCCACCCCGGACGTACAGCCCTCCACCGTCCCCGTGTAGCAGTATTGATAGGCCGTGAAGTTCAAATAGGCCGACTGGCCCGGACGGAGCAGGCGCGTGCCGTCGATTGCTCCCACGCTCGAGTCACTGAACTCCTCAGTCAGCGTCGCATTGCCGACCGTCTCGTCGACGACCGTCGCGAAGGCCGTGGCGGAGAGGCTGGTGAGGTTGGTGCGGGCGGTGTAGCTTGCGTCGCCGGCGGCCGTGAGGGCGCAGGTCAGGTTAGCGTTGCTGGAGCAGGTCTCCGCGGCGGAGACACGCTGGGGAGGGTAGGTTTTCAGGTAGGCTTCGTTGTGGTCCCAGTTGAAGACGGTGCAGTTGGCCTGGCTGGAGGATTGGGCGGTTGCCAGTGGGGAGAGGAAGGTGAGGCAGAGGACATATTTGAGTGATTGCATGTTTGCGGATTCTGATGAATGAGTCGGGAAATGGGCGCGAGATTGTTACTGATGCTTGGTAGTTGAAGCCGTGCGTGCTGGAGGGGTTTTATGCGGCGGTTGAAGCCCTGAGCATACACAGTACATATAATCAAGCATGGAGGCTGGGCAGCAGAGGCGCCAAGCTGTGCACCACGAGTCATTCAGGGCAACAGGCACAACACTGCCACGCCCATCTTGGCATGCTGACATCCGACGTCACCATGATTGATCTTTGGGCAAGTCAGGTACACAGCTCAGCGCATTCCATCCGATATCCGTTGGATGGTGGACAGATCGTCCGGCAGGTCTCTCTCGGCATTGATTTTAGTGTCTCGGGGGACAGGCCCAGCGCTAACTTGCAGCACATGTACACATGTACTATTGTAGCAAGTAAGAACGAACGGACTAATAAGATCAACTCCACCAGCCAACTCAATCCAGCCAAGACAACCAGTGGTCATAGGATCGTGAAAGGGTATGTCAGCCAAGAAGCCCTGAGTTCATACGCGGTAGGACCTCCATGCCTCCAGCTGCCCATGCCCGGGCCGAGGGCGGATCAGCCCGCCCAGCGCCACTCCCACAGCCTCACGCACTCTATGGGGTGGAGATTTGTTGGGTATGCTTGCCAGGCGCATGAGAATACTTCTTGCCCGTCAAAAGTGGAGCCTCAAGTGTGAACTTTCTGATAACTTACCGATGGTGAGACCTACTGAGCACGGCCTCCGCGTCAAATCACGACTGAGTGGTGACTACCACTATCTAAACATCTGGCGGGAACTGAAGATTCTCTCCATAGAAAGAGCTAGTAAATGCGACCGGGGGATTCCCTGGTTAAGTACTAGTAGGTGGTTCTGTTGGAAGGTTTTGCCGTGATGGTCGGGATTGAGGCCTTATATATCTCTCGCTCCGCTTTTCGGACTACTCAATGCGAAGCAGATCGCGGCGTTTGTTTACCCAGTGGGAGTGAATCAGGGGCACCTGTCACATTCGAATAGTTGCAAGTTACTCTGAAGCGCCATGTCGTTGTGAGTTGTCAACTAACCCTCTACGATGGAACAACAAACCGGCCAAACCGGTGGGCCTTGATGCCCCAGGCAGCAATACAATCGATAAGCCGACCGAGGAAGCAGCGTCACGTTTCTTTTCTCTTGCACACTACAACAGCTCTCACCGACCCTTTTCTCTTCTCTTCTCTCCCTCTACTTGCATCTGATCTACACATGTGTATGATATTATTGTCTAGAAGTGGCCGTACTCCAAAGATGATGCCATATACCTGCATCTATGAACGCCAAAGGCCAATCCTTGCTTGTGTTCGCAGAATTATGCGGTACCACCCGACCGGCAGCGTGAAGTGACATTAGAAGCCTCATATCCAAGGAAAGAAAACAATCTTTCCGTCCTCTCTCATCGGTCAATCTTCTTCTCTCCTCCTTTCTCAACGAAAGACTTCAAGTCTTCAGCCTGCACCTGCAGACACGCCCGGAACTTCTTCCCCATGAACCATTTGACCACATACGCCAGCAGACCCCGCTGCGACTCCCACGACACCACCTGCGTGACGCGTTGATTCCCGTTCCCTTTCAGTTCCCCGTTTGCCGACTCCTCCACAAATTCATGGAACTCATGCACGCGCTCCGCATACAACAGCCACGCGGGCAAGCCCTTGCCCGAGGGATCGGTCGCCCACGCGATGCGCGCGGCTGTCTGTCGCCCGTCCTTGGGCGGGTCGAACTCGGTCACCACCAGAGCCACATCTGCCGGCTTGGCTCTAGGTCCCCGGGGGTTCCAGTTGAGATGGATGGTCATCTTCGTGCTGAGGTGCAGCCGCGTCGACTGTCTCTGGTCAGGCTGCGCGCGGATGGTGGCTCCGGGGCAGAAGGTGTTCCATGTCGACCAGGCGCCAGTGTTAACCACGGCGTCCCATGCTTCGGTGGCGGGGGCTCGAATGACGGTTGAGCTCAGATACGTGCCCCGAGACTCGCGCGCGGGGATGCTCTTTGTGGAGAGGTCGAGGGTGGTGGGGTCGAGCCGGGGAGACATTGGAGGAGGATTGCAGAAGATAGAACGGGGAAATGTAGCAGTATGGGCTGAACATATTGAGTGCGTTGGTGGTATTGACTGTTGACAGGGGTATTTTTATGGATGCTGACGTCGGGGAGGATTTCGGACTCGATGGCCGGTGGAGTCCGCTCGACGCAGGCGTGCAGGATGAGATGTCGGACTGCACTTGTCCTTACGCGACTGATTGGATTCATTTTGCCTGAATGCTTCGGGGCGATTCTAGCTGCCATGTTGACAGCCTTGCGGCTGGCATGGATTTTGTTGGGATTGGCTGATTGTCCGATGCGGAAGATAAGCGCGGACTGCTTGGCGGGCTGAGAGATTCCCATCGAAGAGGTGTGATACTTTATATCGAGATGGATTGCAGTCTTGTCACGCCACACTGTATCATTCACCTTCACCATTGACAAGAAAGTCATCGCTTCATCAATCTTGCCGCCAGATCAATCACAATGCCCACCTCCTTCGACCTCACTGACAAAGTCGCCTTAGTCACCGGCGCCGGCCGGGGCCTGGGCGCCGCCATCGCCAAAGAGCTCGCTTCCCACGGGGCCTCGGTCGTGGTCAACTACGCTCGCTCCGCGGCGGCCGCCCAGCGCGTCGTCGACGAGATCGAAGCCCTCCCTGGCAAACCTCGGGCCATCGCCATCCAGGCGGACGTGACCCAGCCGGCCGAGGTGACGCGGCTGTTTGAGACGGCCATCGAGCACTTTGGCAAGATCGACATCGTCATGTCCAACTCCGGGATGGAGGCCTTCTCCGCCGAGGAGGATGTTACCGCAGAGCTGTACGACGAGGTGTTTGGGCTGAACACGCGCGCCCAGTTCTTCGTCGCCCAGCACGCCCTCAAGTACGGCAGCCACGGCGGCCGCCTGATCCTGACCTCCTCCGTCGCGGCCCAGATGACCGGCGTCAAGAACCACGCCCTGTACGCCGGTTCCAAGGCCGCCGTCGAGGGATTCACCCGCAGCTTCGCCGCCGACTGCGGCCCCAAGAAGATGACCGTCAACGCCGTCGCCCCCGGCGGTATCTACACCGACATGTATCTCGAGAACTCGTGGCACTACGCCCCCGACGGCTATCCTGGGATGCCCATCGAGCAGATCGACAAGGGCATTGCGAGCCTGTGTCCGCTGGGCCGCACGGGCAAGCCCCTCGATGTGGCACGTGTGGTTGCCTTTTTGAGCTCGGCTGAGGGCGAGTGGATCAACGGTGAGTATTTCTTCCTCGATTCGGATCCAACGAATGCTAATGTTTGATGCGAATAGGCCAAGTGATCAAGTTGACTGGTGGTTCCAGTGCGTAAGGGAGATACAGTGTAACTGGTGCAGTTTTGCTTTCTAGTCTCTTGATTCTGCTGCTTTAGAGAAGTGTACATGGCCTTTCTTCAATGTTGCGCACAATACGCATGTAAATGGATGGAGACGTACAAATTGCAGATTGTGAATGCGTTATTTCTTAGTGTGAAATTTCATCAATTTTACTCCTAAATTACTAGTCACTGTTATAGACCGTGGCATGAAAGATACATTGCAACATCCTTTCCGAACAGCTGCTCCTCGGCTCTTCTCGTTTCATGCGATGTGCTGACCCCTACAACGTCTCAGCAGACAACGGACAAGGGCCTTTGTCAGAAGCTAGCCTGAAGCCTGAAGTGCCGGACATCGGACAGCCCCCTCCCCAAGGCCGGATGCCGATGTCCGTCGAGCGTTGGCTTGGACGATACAGTCAGATGTGCATGATCCTGCCCGAGACCAGTCTGGAATAACTATAACTGCAGCCCACAGCACACTCACCCAAGGCACACTCGTCCACCACCTTTGTTAGTTCTTTAGTTCTTTTACCATTCCCAACCAGACAAGATGCCAGCTGATAGCAAATGCGACGTCCTGGTTGTCGGGGCAGGCCCTGCTGGGTTCATGGCCGCATTGACGCTGGCTCGCTACAAGGTTGACGTCCGGGTGATTGACGTACGCCCTGAACGCATCCAGACCGGCCATGCAGGAGGTGTGCTTACTTCCACTTCATCCGTAACGGACCCCCCCAAAAAGACAGACAGACTCACAAGGACATTGACAGGAATCCAGCCCCGGACGCAGGAGGTCCTACAGACCCTCAACCTCCGTCACCAGCTAGACACGCGGGGCAACCATGTCAGCGAGATGGCCTTCTGGGCGCCCAACAATCTCGGGCAGCTGGAGCGCACCTACGTCGGCCAGGAGATCCAGACCACCACGCCCTACCCGTGGATTCTGAGCGTGCCGCAGCGCGAGACGGAGCGCGCCTTCGACGAAGAGCTGCAACGCCATGGATGTCAGGTCGATCGACCGGTGGAGCTGATCGATTTCGTCTACGTCGACGATGACACGGAGTATCCGCTACACGTGCGGGTCAAGCACCGGCACTCGAACGTCGTCTCGACCTGCCGCACCAAGTACCTCCTGGGCGCCGACGGGGCGGGCAGCAAGACGCGGCAGCTGCTGGGCTTTGACTGGGAGACGCACGGTAGCCAGGACGAGGTCTGGTGCGTGGCCGACGTGCAGCTGCAAAGCGACTTCCCCGACCTGCGCCGCCGCTGCGCCATCCGCGCCGCCCAGGGCCGCATGATGCTGATCCCCAACGCCCTGGACACAAACCGCATCTACACCCTGCTCAACGACGAGGATCTCCGCCGGGTGGCCGAGCAGCCATCGCCCAAGGCCAACGGAGTGAACGGAATCAACGGAGTCAATGGCTACGCGCGGTACAGCGACACAGCCCTGGAGGCGCTGCTGCGACAGCGCGTGCGCGACGTGGCCGGCACCTACAAGATGGAGATCGAGCAGATCCTGTGGATCAGCCAGTACCGACTGCAGCAGCGGATCGTGGACCAGTTCTGGGACCAGCGCCGCGTGTTCATTCTGGGGGATGCGTGCCATACGCACAGCACCTCAGCCGCGCAGGGGCTCAACACCAGCGTCGCCGACGCCTACAATCTGACTTGGAAGCTGGCATTGGTGCTGCAAGGGCGCGCTCAATCCAGTCTACTAAGCACCTACGCCCTGGAACGCCGCCAGATGGCCCAGGAACTCATCGACTTCGACGTGCAGTTCTCGCATCTCTTCTCGCGCAAGGACTTCCGCGAGGACACTCAGTTCCAGGACACCTACAAGAAAGCGCAAGGGTTCACCTCCGGCGTCGGCCAGCAATACCAGCCGGGGCCCCTGACGCGGCCCTGCGAGGAGCCTCTGGTCATCGACCACTTGGCCGTCGAGCCCCTGACCCCCGGCAAGCGCCTCTATCCCATAGATGTCTACCGTCACCTGGACGGGACGCACCTCAACCTGCTCAATGACCTCCCGTCGAACGGCCGCTTCCACCTCTGTGCATTCGTTGGCTCCGCCATTCAGGACAGCCGTCTAGCGCCGCTGACAGACTACCTGGCCTCCTCCGCGTCGGCCCTCTCGCGCTTCGACGCGGCCGCCAACCCGGCCTGGGGCTTCGAGGACATCTTCTACGCCAACCCGCAGAACCGCGGTCGCATCGTGGATCTGTTCCTCGTGCACTCCGATAGTCGCCACGAGGTGCGTCTGGAGAGCCTGCCCGCCCCGCTGCCGCAGTGGAAGTACCGCGTCTACGAAGATCCGCAGGCGGCGGGGCACCGTCTGCTCGGGGTGGATCCGCGAGTCGGGGCTTTGGCTCTCGTGAGACCGGACGGGTTTGTAAGCTTGGTGGTGGGACTGGATGAGGGGCACAAGGTGACGGAGCTTCTGCGCGAGTATTTGATCTAGATGCGTTGCTGCTTTTTGTGTTGAGGTTGGATTGGGCTGGTTTCCAA